TTGATATGAGTTTGTGACCCTGAGTTTCACGCTACTTGTGATTGTCAGATGATCGCAAGTAGCCTGAAACTCAGGGTCACAAACTCACATCAATCTAACTATATATATATATATTTGTATTTAGGCAGCATATTTTCATTTAAACATCTCTAATAAAAATGTTAATATGTATGTTGGTTTTACAATGATGATGCTTCCAAGAAGGTTTACATTTCTCTTGGATGATGCTTCCACATTCATAGTTCAGACAAATATTAGTATAAAATACATCTATATTACACCAAAATAATAAGCAAAAATTTAAAATCCTAGAAAGCCAAAGTCACCTATGGGATTAGCAATAAATTTCCTAAATGTTTGTAGCAGCAGAGTTTATATATATATATGTATATAAAATCAAAATATAAATAAATAGGGAAATATAAAAGTTCCCTTCCTTGCATGGAGAAAAAGTTTTGTGAATTTTAAATTGATATAGAATGATGAAAAAACCCAGTAAAATGAACAGTAAAAATGTTTTGAATTTACAGAAATACGTATACACATACCCAGACAATTTAACCCCCTGTAGATGGTCTCAGATGAGATTGAAAGTATTTGGGAAAATAGAAAGTATTTAAAAGAAAATTTTGGTATTTTTCTTAATCAATTTTCTACAGCTACCAAGAAATTTATTCATGAACACAAAAGGATTAAAACAAAAATAAACAGACACAGTATGTCTAATATATATGTCTAAATGTGTGTGTGTTTGTGTGTACGTATGTAAAATTCAGATATAACTAAAATGTTTCTGTAAAATGAGAAAAGGAATAAAGATAAAAAAAAGAAATTTTTCTTGACCAATGCATTTCATCTTCTTATGGACTTTGTTAAGTCAAATGTAAGGATTTTATTTTACAACATGTATTTATGAACAGAAGTAAAACTATCATTATTCTATGAAAATATTACCAAATTGAAATGAAAATATTCTGCCTTTTCCTTCTAATGAGCTGAAGTTATGACATTTTTCCTTCTTTAACAAAGCATATATCATTAACTTTTCTTTTGTTGGATGTTTTTCTACAACCACATGTTTATTCCATTTTTTATGTCTGTGTTTATTAGACCAGCATAGGGTCTACTTCTGGATAAAGAATTTTCATATTTTTTTTTCCAGGATTGAGAGATTAACACCTGAGTTAAAAGAGAATATACTCCTGGGCTTAAATTGCTTGATTCCAAAAAAGTAAATGTCAAAGGACTTGTGTGAAATATATCTGTCAAATTTGTAAACAATAAAAAAATATTCTATCTAGTTGTCATATATATATATATATATAAATAAATAAAAGGTATGTATTTATTAAATTTATTTGCATTCAGTTATTTTAACTTTGAAGCTTCCCAGTACAGTATACAGCCACAGCTTCACTATACTGACCATGTTACTTTTACGAAGTGAAATTTCTAGTCACACATCCAAATGACTTAGAATTTGAACTTGTCCTTTTCCTAGACTGGCTGCCCACCAAAGTTAGAGAGCTCAATCTGCCCTGCTATAAACCCATAAATGGTTGGGGTGAAGAAAAGAGATATAAGAATCTGGATGCAAATTTACTGTGGAAGGGTCATAAATCAGTGCACTTTCTATATATATATATATATCTACCTTGCTATTTTCCTCTTTCTTCTATGTCTATGTCCCTTCAAGTATGTGGGTAATCATGGCTATTGATTACTTCCTGTGCATAGTAACTCATGGCACAGTTTGTTTTTTTGTTATCCCTACTACTCTCCATTCTGCCAATAACATATACTTGTTAGGTAGCTTATTCCTTACTTTCCTGTCTTTCTTGCCTTTAATATGTCCTGTGAGTGTTGAATTCTCCAGCCCCTCTTTCCTCAATATGCATCCTAGAACTTTCAACCAGATCTTTATGATTCTAAGTAGAAGTATCCTTTTTGTTTCCATTTTCCTTACAACTTTCTACTTACTCACATGTTCAGTCCATGTTATTTTCAGTATCCTTGTGTAGAACCACATTTCTATGGCCTCAAGTCATTTCATCCGCTGTGAAGATGTTGTCTAGCATTCTCTGCTACATGGGAGGACTGGTATTATATAACAGCTTGGCACTTGTTTATTTGTTTCCAATAAAGTTTTCCTGTTGTTTAATTCTTTGCTTGGGTTTTAGAAGGCACCTTTTGCTTTTCTCACCCAGCATTGTTCTGATATATAGATATTCTCCCATATAGTAGACAGCTGTTTAACTCAAGAGTTAAAAGTAGTAACCTGTTTGGTCAAAATTCAATCCTTTGGTGGGGAGACTGGACTTACCTCTCCAGGGCACAGCTCTGGGTGAAGGTGTATAGAAGCTGTGCACTGCCCAAATCACACAAAGTACAGAGCATTACATTTAGGGCTGGCATGGCTGTAGGTGTTACCAGAAAGTTGTCTACGTTGACAACAAATTGTATTTTCAACTTTGGATTTTCTGTTGGGATTTACTTCCATTGCCTTTTCCATATTTGTAGAAGACTGAATGCAAGGCAGCAGAGGTTTAAAATCAGGGTTTTCCTCTCTCTTTCTCTCATGCTATCCATTCTCTCTCCTTTCACTCTTGTTCTATTCTCATTCCCTTTCTCTTTTTTCACTCTATTTCCCTTTCTTCCTTTCTCCCTCCCTCTTTCTTCCTTTCTCCCTTCCCCTTTCTCCTTCTTCTCCCTCCCCTTTCTTCTTCTTCTCTCTCCCCTTTCTTCTTCTTCTCTCCCTTTTATATATATATATATATATATATATATATATATATATATATATATATATACACACACATAGTGTGTGATGGATAAATAAATTGTCATTTAAATTATGCAAAAATAAAATAACACTGACATCTAATTTTAACAGATATATTTACCAAAATTGCATAAAAATATCTTGAAATACTAAAGAGTAAATTTATTCAATAAAATCATCATTAGCTTCAATCATTGCCTCCAGACAACTTAAGAGTCTCCTGCATCTCTTCTGGGCAGTCTCTCTGTTTAATTTGGTGAATGCTGCCATAATCCTTTCCTTCAGTACATCTTTGATATTACAAGTTTTGTTTGTCTCTCGCTCAACTGTGCCCCACACATAATAATCAAGGGGGTTGAAGTTTAGGGAATGAGGTGGCCAGATATAAAGGGTGATGTCATTGCTGACTGGGTTCTCTTGCTTGTATGGCATGGTGCAGAGTCCTGTTGTTAGAAATAGGGTCTTCCAGCAGCCACCCTCTTGATCCAGAGCAGCATTACCTCCTAAACATACTTGATGTATGCCTCCATGCTGAGTCTGAGGCCCTGTGTGAAGATGAATGGAAGCATAATGTTGTCATCACTAGTGATCACACCAAACAGCAAAATACAAAAATCTGCAGTTAGTCATTTGGGGACCTTGTGGTATACTGTGCACCAGTTCTCTGTATTTGGTTCTTCCAAAAAGTGTGGTTGGTTCTGCACAAGCCTTCACTGCTATAATCAAATGATATGTGTAGGTAGTCTGGCTGTTGGTTTTAAGAACTGGGCTGCTTGACCGTCATATGTCGAAAATGACAGAGGAGTACAATGTGTGTGTGTGTGTATATATATATATATATATAGGGGAGAGAGATAATGCAAATTTCCTTATATCATATGCCAGGTGTATTTTCTAAGTTTTTGTCTATAATGTTTGGAATTTCTTTTGCACTAGTGACATCATGTGTCTTTGCCAATGAGAATTGTGTACTGTTCTGGGATATTTAAAAAGCTGGGAGGAGAAAAGAAAAGCTCTGTGATAATATGGTCATATTATTATTTTCCTTATTAGGAAACATTCAGTATTCATTGACTGATTAGCTGCTGTTGGTTGAAATTTATAAAATCTTCCTACTAAAACAATTTTTCAGGAAAATAGGTTTCTTAAATCCACTAACTTATATCTCTTTTCAATACTTATAGGAATTTCTTTCCTAACTTTTTGTTTGTAATAGTATGAAATGTCAACATCATGATTATGACTTTATTTTCTCTTTGTGCTATCCATTTTAGTTGTTGCTGCTGTTGAAAGTCCTCAAGTGATGTAGTTTGTATTATTTGGTGGGTTTCTTTGTGATTCTGTACTGCCAATTCACAAGGCTTGAAAAAGGCTGGTTCTTGTTAAGTCAGTCAGTTATGTGCCATGCGTGATACACGCTTAGGTGATCATGTATCTTTTGATACATGACTGATGACGACGATTTTTTTCCTGCAGTAGGTTGCCATTTCTTTCTGCAGTAGACCAGTTGCCATCCAGGCTATAGAACCCAGTCTGTCATGCTATTTACTCATAGCTGAGGGAGAAGAAGATTCATATCTTTCCCAAGGGTATTAGCACATAAATGAATGTAATGGACTGAAATTCGATCTCTGATCTCAGATTTCTTGATCTGATTCCTCAATGTGAGCTGCTAATCTTTATTCTACTGTGCCTCCTCTTGCTAAGACTTAATAATATATGCAGTTATTTTTGATGGCATGGGTAAACTTTATGTGAGTTGTAACCAGTTAGAATTTTGAGTATCAGAGATTTTACAAGCAAAAACACTGATTGCACAAATGAATATGGAGTATAGAAGTGGCTTGAAGTCAAGGCAAGTGGCCTCTCAACAAAGTGATTAGTTTAAGAAGCCAGGCATTCATTTGTTGAATGCCATTAAATATCTATGCAAGGGTGAATATAAAATGAAAGAGAATGACAGAGATATCCTATCCACTACCCCCTACCCGATCCAGAAATAAAAAAAGGGAAAATCCCAACCTGGTAAATGGTTGCTAAATATACTAGCAGCGAAAGAAGAAAGCAAAAATGTCCAAGAATCAAAATGAGAATGAAGTAAAAATAGAATTGATCAGAACAAGACGAATAAAAAAAAAAGTAAATAGTTAAAAAATAGCAAAAGGAAATGTTTCTGAAAAGACAGGAGTGCTGGAAATATAAAGAATAAAAGAAATACTTGGAAAGTGAAAAGAGAGCATGGGAGAGAGGAAGAAAAAAGGAAACAGAGAATAAGAAGAAGAAAGATGGAGAGAGAGAGAAGAAGAAGAAAGGTGGAGAGAGAGAGAGAAGAAGAAGAAAGGTGGGAGAGAGAGAAGAAGAAGAAAGGTGGGAGAGAGAGAGAAGAAGAAGAAAGGTGGAGAGAGAGAGAAGAAGAAGAAAGGGGAGAGAGAGAGAAGAAGAAGAAAGGGGGGAGAGAGAGAAGAAGAAGAAAGGGGGAGAGAGAGAGAAGAAGAAGAAAGGGGGAGAGAGAGAGAGAGAAGAAGAAGAAAGGGGGAGAGAGAGAGAGAGAAGGGGGGGGGAGAGAGAGAGAAGAAGAAGAAAGGGGGGGAGAGAGAGAGAAGAAGAAGAAAGGGGAGAGAGAGAAGAAGAAGAAAGGGGAGAGAGAGAGAAGAAGAAGAAGAAAGGTGGAGAGAGAGAGAGAAGAAGAAGAAAGGTGGAGAGAGAGAGAGAAGAAGAAGAAAGGTGGAGAGAGAGAGAGAAGAAGAAGAAAGGTGGAGAGAGAGAGAGAAGAAGAAGAAAGGTGGAGGGAGAAGAAGAAGAAGAAGAAAGGTGGAGGGAGAAGAAGAAGAAGAAGAAAGGGGAAGAGAGAGAAGAAGAAGAAGAAAGGGAAGAGAGAGAAGAAGAAGAAGAAAGGAAGAGAGAGAAGAAGAAGAAGAAAGGGGGAGAGAGAGAAGAAGAAGAAGAAAGGGGAAGAGAGAGAAGAAGAAGAAGAAAGGGGAAGAGAGAGAAGAAGAAGAAGAAAGGGGAAGAGAGAGAAGAAGAAGAAGAGGGGAAGAGAGAAGAAGAAGAAGAAAGGGGAAGAGAGAGAAGAAGAAGAAGAAAGGGAAGAGAGAAGAAGAAGAAGAAAGGGGAAGAGAGAGAAGAAGAAGAAAGGGAAGAGAGAGAAGAAGAAGAAAGGGGAAGAGAGAGAAGAAGAAGAAAGGGAAGAGAGAGAAGAAGAAGAAAGGGGAAGAGAGAGAAGAAGAAGAAAGGGGAAGAGAGAAGAAGAAGAAGAAAGGGGAGAGAGAGAAGAAGAAGAAGAAGAAAGGGAAAAGAGAGAAGAAGAAGAAGAAAGGGGAGAGAGAGAAGAAGAAGAAGAAAGGGGAAGAGAGAGAAGAAGAAGAAGAAAGGGGAAGAGAGAGAAGAAGAAGAAGAAAGGGGAAGAGAGAGAAGAAGAAGAAGAAAGGGGAAGAGAGAGAAGAAGAAGAAGAAAGGGGAAGAGAGAGAAGAAGAAGAAGAAAGGGGAAAGAGAGAAGAAGAAAGGGAAGAGAGAAGAAGAAGAAGAAAGGGGGAAGAGAGAGAAGAAGAAGAAGAAAGGGGAAGAGAGAGAAGAAGAAGAAGAAAGGGGAAGAGAGAGAAGAAGAAGAAAGGGGAAGAGAGAGAAGAAGAAGAAAGGGGAAGAGAGAGAAGAAGAAGAAAGGGGAAGAGAGAGAAGAAGAAGAAAGGGGAAGAGAGAGAAGAAGAAGAAGAAAGCGGAAGAGAGAGAAGAAGAAGAAAGGGGAGAGAGAAGAAGGAGAAAGGGGAGGGGAGAAGAAGGAGAAAGGGGGAGGGAGAAGAAGGAGAAAGGGGGAGGGAGAAAGGAAGAAAGAGGGAGGGAGAAAGGAAGAAAGGGAAATAGAGTGAAAAAAGAGAAAGGGAATGAGAATAGAACAAGAGTGAAAGGAGAGAGAATGGATAGCATGAGAGAAAGAGAGAGTGAATAAAGTCAAAGGAATGACAGGCTAAAGAAAAAAACAGAATTACAGAAGGAGAAACAGGAAAACAAAGAAAGAAAAAGAAAAGAAAGTCAGAAGGAAACATACAAGAGATGATGATGATGATGAATTGAAATAAATAGATGTGAAGATAAAAAAAAATTCAAAGTCCTATTTTGGTTGTTGTCTAAATGGTTACCATAGTAATTTGTGTGACGTCAGATCTCTATAGTGGAATGCACTCTTGCCAGGGATTATCACAAACACCCAGCTACAAGGTACCATCACCACTTGCACCGACTGCCCTGCTCTTCTCTTACTTCCTACTCACTACTTCCTCCCCCCGACATCCAACTTAATTTTCTGGGAAGAGAAACAGGCTCTGGTCTCTGTCATTGTTTCTATTGCCTACTACTGCTTTTTTTTTTTTTTTTATATCATCCTCCGCTTCTTGTATTTTCCTTCCTTTTCTTATTCTAAATGTCCCATTTGAATTAAATACTGACAAAGTGTTCATCCATTTTCCTCCTTATCTTCATTGTCATTGTGCCAAGCTGAGGTGGCATAGTGGTCAAAGTAGTTACATCAGATAGCACAATATCTATCCTAGCTAGCACAGAACACTCTTGCAATTTTGTAGTCACAATGGTAGTGTAACAAAACAAAAACAAAAAAAAAGTGTGCACATCAATGATATCATAACATCACTGACTGGCCCCTAGACCAGTCATGATGACTAGATGACCCTTGATGAGGCTTAAACTCATATCTGACCACAAGTGGAACTTGTACACATGATCTATGGCAAATGATGCAGGATAAATAGTTATCTCCCTATACCACTCCACATGCTATCTTCCACCTTTAAAAGAGGAGGCCTGAAATGGAGTATACTTTGTCATATTTGAATGAGATGTGCTCAGTTCTCATTTTACAGCCTTTATAGAATCCAAAAATGTCTTGGAGTCCTTCTAGGTGACAAATTATTTTGCACCTTCTAACCTCCTTTTTACAGATGAGATATGGCAAGCCTCTCATTGTTTCATCACTTCTTCCATGGAAAGTGCTTGGATCAACTACATTCCTTTGTTCTGCCAGTTGTAATATTCATAACTAGGACCTGCCATGCCACTCACATTGTAGAAAATCACCTACATTCCCACTGTATTCAATTGGTGTGAAGTAGATTCTATGTAACCAACTTCTTCTTATGAACCACTGCTCTGTTGAACTGACTCCTAAGAGGATTTTTTTCCTATCTATAGTTTGTATATAGTATTATTTTTATGTTTTTATTTACTAATGTTTACCCAATACAAGGCCTGCTAAGAACAAGTGATTCCTTCTTAAATCATCATGGGCGATAACTCTTCCATAATGAAAAAGAAAATGGAAAAAAGAAATTTAGATAAAAGGTGGTGAGAAAAATATTAATACAGAAATGTTAACACTTCTTGCCTCACTAATCTTCCCAAAGATTTCAGCTGTCTCTGTTTATTAGTATCACTTTCTTTATTGTTCTTACTAATCCCAAATAAGTTCAGTATTAAGTGATTTTCAAATAAACATGCTAGCATAATTAGTATGCTACCAAATTTAGGAGACTAAAGTGTTGATTCATAAATTTGGTAGCAGAGTAATTATAAGTTCTAGCAATTTTGGACTAGCAATAACTGAGCAGTATGAAAGAAGTAATTGTGAGTTCAAACCCTGGGCTGGGCAGCACAGAAGTGACTCAGTGGAAAAAGGACTAACAATAATTGAGTAGTATGTAAAAAGTAATTGTGAGTTCAATCCCTAGGTTGTGTAGCACACAATCAACTCAGTGGGAATAGGACTAGCAATAACTGAGTAGTATGTAAGAAGTAATTGCGAGTTCAATCCCTGGGTTGGCTGTCACACAATCAACTCAGTGGGTATAGGACTAGCAATAACTTAGTAGTAGTAAAAAGAATGAACAAGATGAAATCTCTCTAGGCAGTGGAGTGAGAACAATCTATACCTGTAGATTAAATAAAGTGTTTAGTTCCCTGGATCAGGCAATACAGACTTACAGCCAGCAGAAACAACACAATCTCTGGTAGTGCTAAAAACAAACTAGACAAGATATCTCTAAATATGGATAACAGAACAAAAATAATCTACTCTCATAGTTTAATTAAAGGGTTCACTTCAAAATTATCTGAAGATTCTCCAGATCGACAGATAACCAAAAAAGGTCAGAGTGTTAATGGGCAAAGTGTTGTGATAATAACAACCAATCTGAAGACATTAGTTGGAAGAAGAATATAGTAATTAAAAACAGTTTTGAAAAATTGTTTCTTTGTAATAAAACTGAGGAAATGTTGATAACAGGAAAAATGAAAAAAAAATTAGTCATTTTTGTATACATAAAGATACCTATAATATGTTTGTGCTAAAGAATAAATGGGTACAGGATAAAATCTTAAGAAACCTCTGTGAACAACACTTAATGAACAGTTAACAATGATTGGCATTCATTGTACTCATCTGAGTGGTTCAACAAGTCTAAAGCAACACACACCATCAACTGATTATTTTAATGTATGTTTTTTACATTTCTCTTGGAGATAAATGAAGTGCTGTGAAGTAAGTCAACCACCAATGCTAAATTCTTGAACATGGACTCTTCCATTGACTATGAGAGAAGTGATAAGTGAGTCAAAAAGCGTGTTGCACTAACTACAATATTTACTAGTAATCACCATAGAGATCCTTCCCTGCCCCCCATTAGAATGTCTGCTAGTCAACTTCTTGAGAGCTACTCTCTGCGTCTGCTCGGTCTCACGTTGACTGCTGACCTGAGATGGAACAAATACATTGAGTCAATTGCATCGTCCACTGCGAGGAAAGTTGGCTCTCTGTGCCGCGCCAGGAAATTTTTCTCCCCGGAATCGATACTTCAAATATACAAATCAACCATTTGCCCTAGCATGGAGCATTGCTGCCATATATGGTCTGGGGCACCTTCTGTTTACCTTGGAGTTCTTGACAAGATCCAGAAACAGATATGTAATATAATTGGCCCTGATCTGGCATCTCGTCTACAGTCACTCTCTCACAGACGTGCAGTCGCCTCTCTCCGTCTTTTCTACAAATACTTTCATGGTAATTACTCTGCTGAGCTGCTTTCACTGGTTCGCAGACTCCACGAATTCAAGTGTCCTACGAGGCTGGCATCCCGCTCTCACCCTTACACTGTAGAAACTTTTAAATTTAGCCATCTCTTCTACTCCAATAGCTTCATACCTCACACCTCTTGCCTGTGGAACACCCTTCCCAATTACTGTTTCCCTGAGAGCTATAATCTCCAGCTATTCAAATGTAATGTCAATCAACATCTCCAGTTACCTTGATCTATCCACTATCCCTCTCCTCATCCTTTCTTCTATCACTCCTATCTGCTCTCGCTCCAAATCTTCTGCAACCCTCTGCATCCTAGTGGCTTCACGCCTTACTCAGGGCGTAATGCTTAAAAAAAAAAAAAAAAAAGTACTGTATTATTAATTCAGATGATTGAATAGTTTTTCCATTAATCTTTGGTTCCAGTGTTTTCTTTGGTATGGTTTTAACCAGAATAAAAAGCTTATATGAGCATTATAACATGAAATAGACATAAGACAAAAACAGATAGCAAAAAAATCATCATCAGTCCTATAAGCAAGTGTAGTCGTTAGGTTGTTGTGTCGTTAAGCACTTAACCATGTCCCTCCATATGTCACAATTGTGTGTCATTTTCTGAGTATCTGTGAATGATATTCCAGTCCAGACAGAGATGTTGTCCATTTTTCTTTTGCCTGCCTCTTCTTCTTTTGTTTAATGTGGTACCTTTGTAGAATTGTACTGGAAAAATTGTTGACTCTTACGACATATCCATACTCTTTATATTTTCTCTCCTTGATGGTACTTATGGTGTCTTTCAATAGGTCTGTTTCTTGTTTGATAAATGCTGTCTACATAGGCAGTTCCAAAGATGGTTCTGTAGCATCTCATTTCTAATGCTTGGATTCTTCACTTGAATGTTGCTGTTAATATTCAAGACTTGAAGGTGTACAGAAAGATTGAGAAGACCGATGCATGAAACAGTCAAATCTTTGATTTCAGGTAGATGTTCATGCATTTTGAAATAGATTTTAATTTTACGACAGCTGCCAGTGTTTGGGCTTCTGAAATTATTTCTATTCTGGAGTGCTCTTTGCTGATAACTGAGCCAAGATATTTGAACTGTCTCATTACTTTAAGTTGCAGATCATAGATTTTTATCTTGCATGTAAACCCTTTCACATTGGTCATCATGAATTTTTTTTTCTGGAGGATATTTCTTCCTGTTTCTTAACCAGACTGACAAGGTGTGGTTTGTTTTCTTTTACAGTATATCAACCTCAATGGGTCATTTAATGCTGATAACTTTTTTTTTCTGGTAATATTTTTGTTTTGTCAAAAATCTATTTCTGTTAATATTTTTTTCCTCAGAAATGTATAGCTGGTAATATTATTTTTTCAAAAACGTATAGCTGGTAATACTATTTTTCATTTATCATCATACCCAGGACGTGTATGTAGTCTGTCGTCATACCCAAGACGTGTGTGTAGTCTATCGTCATACCCAAGACGTGGGTGTAGTCTATCGTCATACCCAAGACGTGGGTGTAGTCTATCGTCATACCCAAGACGTGAGTGTAGTCTATCGTTATACCCAGGATGCGGATGTAGTTTATTGTCATACCCAGGATGTGGACGTATCCAGAATGACAAGTTTCTTACGTTTGCCAACTCGACCACGTAGACCATCTATGTCATCTACAAAGTGATCTTTTCTGCTTCTGCAACCTGCAATACTGACTGTACCCTACTGTTCCTTCAAGGGTGTCATTCAGGATTCATTTAAGGAAAATGTTGAAGAGCATAGGAAAAAGAAGGCAGTCTTGGTGTACACTGACTGATGTATGGAATCATTTGCCTATAA